AGGGAAAAGTAGGGGTCGGTGGGAGAGGGGGAGGGAGAGGAGGAGGGGGCGAGGGTGTGCCAAAGCAGCTGCATTCAGGACGTTCTGGTCAGTTACAGTCACTCCGGCTGGATCCACAGCCGACACACAGTTAATGTAACTTTCCTCTCTACTGCCGGGAGGAGGGGGGGCAGGGGAAGGTAGGGGTCGGTGGGAGAGCGGGAGGGAGAGGAGGAGGGGGCGAGGGTGTGCCAAAGCAGCCGCATTCAGGACGTTCTGGTTAGTTACAGTTACTCCGGCTGGATCAACAGCCGACACGCAGTTAATGTAATTTTCCTCTCTACTGCTGGGAGGGGGGGCCAGGGGAAGGTAGGGGTCGGTGGGAGACCCCTCTCCCTCTCCCTCCCCCTCTCCCACCGACCCCTACCTTCCCCTGCTCCCTCCTCCCGGCAGTAGAGAGGAAAATTACATTAACTGCGAGTCGGCTGTGGATCCAGCCGGAGTGACTGTAACTGAACAGAACGTCCTGAATGCGGCTGCTTTGGCACACCCTCGCCCCCTCCTCTTCCCCCTCCCCCTCTCCCACCGACCCCTACCTTCCCCTGCTCCCTCCTCCCGGCAGTAGAGAGGAAAATTACATTAACTGCGAGTCGGCTGTGGATCCAGCCGGAGTGACTGTAACTGAACAGAACGTCCTGAATGCGGCTGCTTTGGCACACCCTTGCCCCCTCCTCCTCTCTCTCCCCCTCTCCCACCGACCCCTACCTTTCCCTGCCCCCCCTTCCCGGCAGTAGAGAGGAAAATTACATTAACTGCATGTTGGCTGTGGATCCAGCCGGAGTGACTGTAACTGACCAGAACGTCCTGAATGCGGCTGCCTGCCTGTCACCGCCTCTCCTCTTCCGCTCTCAGGTTCTGCCTCCCTGCAGCAGGAGGGAGGGTTTGGCACACCTCCGCCCCCTCCTCCGTTTCTTCTCTGACGAGACCCACCTCTGCCAGAGTACCTCCTGATAATCCGGCATTTCTGATAATCCAGCACCACCTGGGTCCCAACGGTGCCGGATTATCGGAAGTCTACTGTACCTAATTGCCAGCATCTCAGAGGCAGGTAAACTCTTGTTCTGTGTTCTATGCCTGTTGTGTTACTTTCTACACTGCTACCTCTTTACTTCTGTCCTACATTTCACTTTCTTGGCTTTCCATAAGATCCTGGCACTAACTGCATTGTCTCAGCACAACGAGATTAAATGTCCGTTATCTTGTTCCATCTTAAGCGAAAGAAGCCAACGAGATGATGTCCCTGACAGGAATGTGAGTCAGGGTCATCAACTTGCCAGACAAAGTATTCCCTTGTAATCTACTAGCCATCCAGTGTTCTAAAGACACCAGTCAAGGCCATATTTCCCTCATCTCCTCTATCCAGTCATACAATCATAGAGGATTAGGGTTGGAAGAGGCCTCAGGAGGTCCTCTAGTCCAACCTCCTGCTCAAAGCAGGACCAACCCCAAAGAAATCATCCCTGTCAGAGTTTTGTCAAGGCAGGTCCTAAAAACCTCAAAGGATGGAGAGTCCACCTCCTCATTAGGCAAACCACTCCAGTGTTTCACCACCCTCCTAGTGACATAGTTTTTCCTAATATCCAATCTGCACATCCCCCACTGCAACTTGAGACAGTTAGACCATTACTTCTTGTTTTTATCACCTGCCACCACTGAGAATAGCCTGGCTCCATCCTCTTTGGAATCCTATTGGGGTGGGGGGTGGGGGGGAAGCAGTTATTGTGACATTTTGGTTAAGGTGACAAACAGTGTTCCCTGTAAGCTGTGCGGGGCATCACAGCTTCATGGGTGATTAATCAGCCCTGCCCAGTCCGTCAGCTCCATGCATGGAGCCCTGAGCCTCTGACTGGGTGGGGCTGATTAAGCACCTGTGAAGCTGGACTGCCACGCAGCTTAGAGGGAACACTGGTCATGTGCCTCAACCCCCTAATCATTTTCATTGCCCTCCACTAGACACTCCCATTTGTCCACCTCCTTTCTGTAGTGGGGAGCCCAAAATGACGCAACACAATGACTAGAGGCAAATCCCTGCAAACTGCATGGAAACTTTTTAAAGACACCATAATAGAGCCCCAACTTAAATGTATACCCCAAATTAGCAAGAGACCTAAAAAAGAGTCACCATGGCTTAACCACCATGTAAAAGAAGCAGTGAGGGACAAAAAGGCATCTTTTAAGAAGTCGAAGTCCAATCCTAGTGCGATAAATAGAAAGGAACATAAACACTGTCAAATCAAGTGTAAAAATTTAATAAGAAAAGCAAAAAAAAGATTGAGGAACAGCTAGCCAAAAACTCAAAAAGAAATAACAAAATGTTTTTTAAGTACATTAGAAGCAGGAAGCCTGCTAAAAAATCTGTGGGTCCCCTAGATGATCGAGATAAAAAAGGAGCAATCAAGGACAATAAAGCCATTGCGGAGAAACTAAATGATTTCTTTGCTTCAATCTTCACGGCTGAGGATGTTAGGGAGATTCCCAAATCTGCACCGTCCTTTGTGGGTGATGAATCTGAGGAACTCTCCTGGATTAAAGTGTCATTAGAGGAGGTTTTGGAACAAATAGAAAAACTTAATGTCAACAAATCTCACACCCACACATGCACAGCACAGCACAGCCTGGTCACGTTCCACGTTACGGGCATGAAATGGACATTACAATGGGAGGTTCTACCAACATGAATACTGCAATGGAGAGAGGTGCCTGTATCCCCAAGAGACACCTGCTCAAACCTGCCTTTCCCAGGGGTTACGTGCATGGGTAGCAGGTTTAAAACTAATAAAAGAAAGTTCTTCTTCACACAGCGTGTAGTCAACCTTTGGAACTCTTTGCCAGAGGAGGCTGTGAAGGCTAGGACTATAATAGAGTTTAAAGAGAAGCTAGATAATTTCATGGAGATTAGGTCCATAAAAGGCTATTAGCCAGGGGATAGAAATGGTGTCCCTGGCCACTGTTTGTCAGAGGCTGGAGAAGGATGGCAGGAGACAAATCGCTTGATCATTGTCTTCAGTCCACCCTTTCTGGGGCATCTGGTGCTGGCCACTATTGGCAGACAGGCTACTGGGCTAGATGGACCTTTGGTCTGACCCAGTATGGCTGTTCTTATGTTTTTATGTAACACTCCAAATGTGGCCTCACCAGTGCTGAATAGAAGGGAATTATCACTTTCCTCAGTCTGTTTGCAATGCTCCTATTCATTTCTTGTTAGCCTTCTTGACAACAAAGGCACACTATTGACTCATATCCAGTTTTTCGTTCATTGTAACACCAGGTCCTTTTCTTCAGAACTGCTGCTTAGCCAGTCGATCCTCACTCTTCAGCAGTGCTTGGGATTCTTCTGTCCTATGTGCAGGACGCTGCACTTGTCCTTGTTGAACCTCCTTTCTTTTGGCCCAATTTGTGTAGGTTACTCTGGACTTTATCCCTCTGTTCCCTGCCCCCTGCTCTGCCTCCCAGCCCCAGCAATCCCAATCTCTCAGTGCTACAGGTATCCCAATCCCCTGGCTCCCTGCACCACCTACCAGCACTTGTGTTCACAATCCCACCCATCCTGCTCTGCAACTCAGGCAGGCAATACCATTCCCCCTTCCACCTGCTCCTCCACCAGCCTTCCTGCCCTGTTCCTTCCCTCCCTGATCCTGCTCAGATTTGTTTTTCAAAAAAAAGCCCTGATCGTGAAAATGGCCATCGGGGCTTTTTTGTGGAAAAGCGCGTCTAGATTGGCATGGACACTTTTCTGCAAAAAGTGCTTTTGCGGAAAAGCGTCCTGCCAATCTAGACGCTCTGTTCCGAAAATGCTTTTAACGGAAAACTTTTCCATTAAAAGCATTTCTGGAAAATCATGCCAATCTAGACGCAGCCGTCAGTCTTTTAACCAGGACAAGACAGTACAGTTCTGGGTTAGAAGGCTGGGGAGCTGGCAGGAACTGGCTGGAGAGCCTCTCTGTTGCTGGCCCATGAGTAGCTGGCCAAGCATTCTTGTAACTCAGCTACGTGTATCCCTGCCTGTGGATGTCTGTGTAAGTGCAGCACCAGCCAGAGGTTTGTGGCTTAATAACAGCATCACAGGATGAGAGGGATATCCCAGGTTGCGAGGACAGAGAGCTGAGTGATCCCACAATCCAGATTGCACCGTGGGGACTCCTTCAC